AGTGAACAAATTGGTTGGGAAGAATAGTCAAGGTGGAATCTAGCACTATGAAAAGTTTCTTTTTAAGATGTAATGAAGCCAAATGGCTCTTAACTCAGCTGGTGGCAGTTAACTAGAGTTTCTTGGTTTTGTATTAAAATATGCCTCTAGAGATAGAATCTGGAGAGCAGAAGGACGTCAGCAGGATTCTTACGTGCACAAGCCATAACAAGTTTCTGACTAGAAGTTGGACATGTAAATAAATAAACAGAAAGAGATAAATGAAGCAAGCTGGTTAAAGTCAGGAAGGGCACTTTTGAGCTCTGTAAAGAAATGAAAGCCTGAATTAAGCAGAACTGATCTCAAGCCTTATCATTTTCCTTCCTATTTCCTTGAAGCACCACACTCAAACCACCTTCTTGCTTAGAAGCTTCTGCTGATACCAGTTGAACAGCAAAGTTACTCAGTGATCACACATGCTCTGAGACCTCTGACTTTCTGTCAGGCAATGCACAAAAATACTTGTGACATATAAGCAGGTGTCTCAACACAGTCCCCTTGAGCCATAAGTAATCAGTTCCTTGATTTACGATACAGATGGGTTATGACATTGCAGAGCGCATACTGTACTGCAGGGCTTCAAGCTGTGACTGTATACCAGCAACCTCCAACATTATTCTGGTGTAGCTAACGTTACATGCACAGAGCTGGGATGCCTAAAAATAGATGCCTGGCAGTGACTTTGCGTAAAAGCTTTGCCTTAAAGGCAGCAGATCTGCACATTTCTTCCTCAGTTTACCTGCTGGGGTGGAAGTCTAGGAAAAGAGAACAGTGGCGCAACTTCCAGTGTAACTCACTGCAACCACACACTGCTAATGCACCAACTGTTGGCAACAAATGCAACAAAATAGATCAGTCTATTTACAGAGTCAGAATTCAAGGCAGTTGAAGGATCTTCATTAATATTTCCCATCACAGAATCGAGTAATCAGTTATGACTGCTGAAAGTCTCCCAAGGAATGCTAGTCTCCCAGTCAATAAAATATTTTCATTTCCCAGGTCTCCTCATAATTGTAAAGTTCCATTATGACAGAATTTCTTTAAAAATGTCAGATTTACTTGAGAGCCTGTGTTGGACTTCAGTATCTCCAGCACAGCAGCAAGGAAAGAAGAGGAAATGAGACTCATTCGCATGCAGAAGTGACTAGTACACTTAGCAAGGTCTTTAGAGGTTTACACCAGAGTTACTATTCACTTCTGACAGGTTTTGCAACTAAAATATCTTTATCTATGAAATAATTAATAGCTGACTTTGACAAACACGTGATCAGAGAACACAGAATACAGTGCTCACTGCTATGAGCACTTCCCATTTGAATGTCGAGTTGTAGGTCAACTCCAAGAAGTTTTCCACCGAACTTAAAGTGAAAATAAAGTTTATATTGCAAAATTGTCTTTCATGCTTTTGAGGCTTACTTGAGCACAGTCGCTTCCTGTGGTTTTAGAGCTTTGAGAAGTCAACAGTTGTTTCCATCTTTTGAAGTGTATGACAATACACATTTCCTTATGGCAGACTACAATATGATTACGTAGGTACCCTGAATGAGCTACAAAGCTCTCAGTTGCTATAAAACTGCTAGAATAAGGTGCACTATAATAGGTCAGGGGTTATCAGTACCAGTGGCTTGACACGTGTCCCAATAGACAATGGAGGATAAACCTAAAACTGTATTTCTATTCCTGGTGACACTTCTACCATATAGAGGTTTTGCTTTTACTTTAGGTTATAAAAATTTAAACAGAAATGTGTACAAATACTTGCACTTTCACACTTGCTACAAGACAGTGGACATAAGAATTCAAAAAGCTGGAACAGAAGGAGAAGAGAAACTAAGGAACAGCTGAAGGCAGAAGTTCATTACTTGTTTTCTATATGTTTAAGAAAACATTCCAAAAAAGGGAAAGAAAACAAGATAGAAAACAATAATTTATCTAAGAGAAAGTAATGGAATTTCAGCAAATAGAAACGTTTAGAGAGGCAATTCCAAGTTGCCAACTTACTTCCATACTTCCATCCGTTCTACCAGCTAGCAACTGTGAAACAGGAAGGGAACAGACTTCAGGAACCAACTGCAGCTTTAAAGGGGAATACCACAGCTGTCACATAACCCAAGAAATTCTAAGGCTGTGCTACAAGAACTGAAATAGAAGGTTTGTGTGCAATTGTTTAGGAATAGGGTTGGTTTCTTTTAAGCATGCTTAGTAACATCTACATTAACAAGAAAGTAGAGCAAAGTCAAGTACTGAAGTGATCACAATAATTTTAACATCAGTGTAAGGGAAAATTGCACAGGTTATTGGAATGGTTAATTGGAAACTAAGCCAAGTACTACATCTATAGAGCTTCACCTTAGTAAAAAGACTTTTAAAAGGACAGAAAGGAGAAAAAAAACTCTTCTGAATGGGATATTATCTTAAGAAATGATATTTTTTACCCTTTAAATCCTCAGTTTTTTGATGGATATAGGCTCCTGTGCACACGTAATACAACAAATAGACACAGACTTAGATTTGGGCCCATTACAGGGGGTTGAAGGTAGATAATTGTCCAACCCAGGCCATTCTGTGAAAATATTCTATATCAAAATTTATATTAATATTCAGTATCTTCTGAACTGAAATAACTGCTTTTAGAGACTTTCATCTAAACACATTTTAGCTTTTTTACCTATCTTTACTACGTACTTTTTATTACAATAACTAATTCTGCACACTTCAAGAGCAGAAGTCATAAAATATTCTGAACCGCTGCATCATTCATTATGTGCCTGAAGATTCTTAATGAATGGATCTATGGCTTTGTGTGCTATTACTCATGTGTTGAAGATTATTCACAAATAATGATCTTATTGCTTCATTTTACGCCTACTGACACAGATAATTCCTTACTGCAATGGGACAGCTCATGGAAGCAAGCACTGCAGCCTTGGAGGAATATTCACAGGATTTTATCCCCATATTTTCTGTAACACATAACAGAACGTCACATAATCTCTCCTTGTGACTGCTGTCTAACCAGGAATTGGAGAGATCATTATACTGTTAGTCTCAAAATTCAGGAACAGGAGTGAATCAAGCACAGACAAGTCAAAGACAGCTTTATTTTCCACAAAGAAAGTAGGTTACTCAGTTAGCTGCATACAAATGAAGCCACTATGGGTGCTGCCAGGTAGATTTTGGGCACTGTAATTTTCAATAGTAAGTGTGATACTGAAGGATCTGCCCTTACATGGATTCACAGAGAGCTGTTTAGTACTTTTTTCTCCTGAACACTCATCAGTTTCTGATTCACTGACAGAACCACTGAGAGCATTCCCACTTGCATCTTCTGCCCTCCCACTCTGAGAGTAGTGTCACTGCCTATCTGTCACAAGATCCCCATCACAGATGTTCTGGTTCTGCACTGACTTCTCAGAAAGAGCATTCTTCCTATAGATGTTTCTTTTGATTATTTTATGTTACTGCCATTTTTCCCTCCCATGTTGTCAGATACAAACTACTTTTTTCAGTCCTCCCTGACCTACACACACACAGAGTAACCTCACAGTAGCTGTGTTATGCTGTGAGGACCCAGAGCTGCTTCCTTGGGCTCAGTGAGAGCTGACTGAGACAGATCTGGTGAACAAAAACAGAATCCCTTCCTTGTGCTTTTACTTATGGGACTTATTTCTCCTAACATTGCTGAAACATCCGCACTTCAACTCCAGCTCCTCAGTGCTTCAGAGTAATAAACACTAAGAACTCAGAAGACCTTTTTCCTTACTTTTTAATTGTTTTTTAAGCTATACAGATATGAATACAGAAGTTCAGAATAGACTACATATAGGCTTATGTGTACCTACGCAGCTGTGAACCACTTAGCTGACCCGCTAACACTACTCAGTACGAAGATCACAACTGAAATACAAATTCGCAGTGCTGTCTGACATACCTTTGTATAATACTATCTACCCAAAAAAACAAAAACAAAATAACATTTTTTGGTAGGCAAGATTTGTTTGCTTCCAGCACCATTCCCTAAGTGACATTGCTAAGGAAATGCTCAAAACAGGGCACTTGCTCACACAAGTTAAATCAGGTAGTGTCTGGAAAAGGCAGTGACTTACAGTGAGGCAAGGTTTTGCTCTCTAAATTAAAAATAGAGGCACGCTCACTGCAGCAAGGTGATTTCTGCAAACCCAGCCAAGGGAAAAACTACAATTAAGGACAACCTGCAGAACCGTCCTTGCAGCCATGCCTTAGATTCTCTTTGCCCAACGATGGGGCCATTCCTTCCAGCAGGGTTACCGTGGGGTTTGCAAGACACGGTGCTGAACCTCACCGCACAGCACAGTGAGCTGTGGGACACAGCAGACCAGCTGCCTGCCTGCAAACTTTGGATATGAGCTGGATATACATCGTCTGTATCTAGAAAGCCTTCAGTCGAGAAATATCAGGGATTTCTGTTTAAGTTACAAAAGAACAAAGAGGTATTTCCTAATCATTCCTCTGTTTCTGTACTAACCTGGGAGCATACTGGCTTCAGAAATATGAAATAATATTTTGGTAACCAAAGAAACTATTTCTAAACTATTTCTGCTCCATGTTGGTAACTGTAATCCTCTGTTATTCTACAGCCCATTTCCTCCAGTGGTGCCTTTTGCCTCCTCATTAACCATTTGTTTGGTAGCTTACATGAACTACACCTAGAACTGCTCTTATAATGTTTTTTTTTCTTCCTCCTTCCCATTCAAGCCCATACCCAAATCCTCCCCAATTAACTGCAAAGGAAGAGTTCGCTTCTACAGAGTTTAGAGTAAGGCACAACAGGGAGCCATAGCGTTCTTCTGAGAGGAGCCCAGTTTTCCAAAATATATGTACTTTTAATAATAAAAAAAGAAATCCTGCAGCTTCAGTAGATGCTTAGCATTAATAGCAGCGTTAGCGACAGCATCACGCTCTGCACACATGGATGCGCTCACCTGACTTGTCAGAGGAGTCGTCGAACTCCACGTTGAAGGAGTGCCCGTTGTTGACGATCGCTTTGGCCGTGCCGGCATCGTAGCTGAAGCTGAGGGGCTTCAGCGCGGGGTCGTAGCGGGCGGCCTTGGTGCTGATGGCGATGGGCGACTGGCGCTCCCCATTGGCGATGGGGAAGTGCTCGTGCCAGTGCGCGGGTCCTGCAAGAGAGCGCGGGGCGGCTCAGGGCTCGGGGGTCAGAGGTACCGCTCTGCGGTGCGCGACGTCCCCGCGGCACCTGTTCTGCTGAGGGAAAACCCGTTCGGGGAGCGAGGCGGGGGCAGCCCCCAAGATGAGGGGAACGCGGCCGGGTTCTGCCGGGGCACCCTCTGCCCCATCCCCGCGTGTCGGAACGCAGAGGATGCTCGGCGCGCCGCTCAGGCGCAGGTGGCATCTCAAGGTTACAGCGGCAAAACCGAAGCGCTTCCGAGCTCAGGGAACGGCAGAGCCGCGGCGCTGCTTCCCGGGGCGACCGGCAAGCAAAGGCGTCCCGCCGTGCCCCACACTCACCGTTGTGGCTGTCGTACCCCCAGTGATGGGACATGATGCACCCGCTCGGCTCCGTCGGCTATCGCAACGCCGTGGCCTCGGCGGGCTCTCAGGGGCTTTTATAGGCTCCCGCGAACTCCATGCCCTTCTCCGCGGCCGGAGGAAGGGGTGGGGAGCGGGGGTGGGGAGCGCGGGCGGGGGCGGAGGGAGACTTCGTTCGGGGGCGGAGAGAGAGAGGTCCGCTTATAACCCGCGATCCTCCCGCCGCCGAGCCGCGCCGGGCCCGGCCGGGCACCAAAGGGCTCGTAGCGCCCTCGGCAGGGGTGAGAGGCGGCCGTGTTCCGCACCGCATCGCGCCCGCACCGTGTCGGGCCGGCACCGCGCGGGCTCCCGGCCGTTCCGCGCCGCGACCTTGGGCCGGGGCAGCGGCGGCGGAGCGGGGCGCGTGTGTGCGAGCGCGTCCGGGGGCGAACGGGGTGCGCGGGCGGCGTGCCGCTGCTGCGCCCTGCTGGGGGCCGCGGGAACGGCTCCGTGCGCGGGGCACGGCACGGCCGGGCCGGCGGAGTGCGGCGGGCGCGGGATCGTTCCCCGTTGGTGCCGCTTTTGGAAGGGATTAGCAGGGGATTTGGAGGCGCGGATCAGACCGTTTAGCTGGGGGGAGGGGGAAGGGGGCGGCGGTCGCGTTTAAGAAGGAAGAGGACGCTCCTGTTTCTTACTTCAGAGTGTGATTTCGCGATCGCTCTCAGAGAAGAAGGCAGGTAGAGCCGTGCTCGCGTTCGCTCACCTTGTAGGAAATGCGCGCTTATTGCGAGAGCAGTTGAATCACCACTCCCACGGCTGGACGTGGGAAGAGAACGGAGCAGTACATATTTCAGATGTTTTCATATTGCCCAACACCGGCCCGTTTTACGGGAGCACGGGAAAGTGCAGACCTGAGAGCTTCATACAAATAGCTGAGCACAGCAGCCCTGCGCCGAGCCCCGCTGCTGCTGTGCCGCTGGGGCTGCTGTGCCCTCCCTCACTCAATCACACCCAGCGGGACTGCGGGCTGTCCTTTGTGAATGCTCCTCTGTGTCCGCTCTGAGCAATTTATTGTTTTGATAGGGGAATGACATTGGCAGTGCTGCGGTATTTTAGCCCATTTTCTTATTAAGACAGTTTATCCACATATGTTTTGGTATTTCGTTGTGATTCAGCCCCGGGGTCCAAACTCTGCTTGCCATTGTGAGTCTGGGATAGCACCACCGGAACGATCCCATTATTTACATTCGGCACTGTAAGCTGTGCGTCATTTGTTTTTATTTGTGAAGAGGGAAAAAAGTCCACTGGTACAATGTGGTTACTGTTGCTCATCCCAAAAGGAACCAGCTGGGAAATTCCATATAAAAACTGATGGCTTTTCTCCGACTTTTTTGAGTATAGGCAGAAAATATTTAAAGCGTATTCCTGATGAACACAGCGTGTGTTCACTCACATTTGCATGCCTCTATTCAAGAGGATTTAGCAACTGCAAGACGGAAATGTGGAGGCAAAGCTGTATGCACAGAAGTTATTAAGAAGTGTGTGTGATGTGGAATAGCAAATGGAAATGCACGTTAGAAGTGTACTGGCAATGCCGTGTTTGCTCATTACAGATCCTTTCTGGCAAGAGTGTTGGCAGTCATCCATAAACACACATAGAAAATCCCATGCAGGTAAGTGTCCTTGAAGAATAAAATAGAAAATATTCATTTATGCTGTGGGAAGGAATAATATTTCTGTACATTTCAGAAAGCCTCCTTCCATTTAATCTTGTTATAAAAAAATCATTTCAGCACAATTCCTCTGCTCTCTTTATGTCAGGTCTCCACTGACGTCAGAGGCTGCACTACATAAAGAACAAAGAGAGGATGAAGCACGACACAGTGTTTAGCATGGCAGGCTTCCTCAGAAAGCTGCTCGGGGTGCTTACAGGGGAAGTGGAACCAGCAGCACTACCAGGGGGCTGGGGTTTTAATTACATTAATCTTTGTCACACTGCTCCTATGGTATGTGATGCATGCTAAGCACACACACACATCCATCCACAAATTCAAAGTAGTTCTTAAAATCAAGTCACATGCTGTTCAGTGTGGTACTTGCAGGCTTATGTCCATGCCAAGAAGCTGCTGTTGTGGGCCTGGCACTGACTGGGGCTCAAGGATGGCAGTCTCTTTTTTTTCTATCTCCTGCCTATATCAGGCTCCATTCTGTGACTCAAGTTTCATGGCAGAGCACATGAATGAACCATAGAATGGCTTAGGTTGGAAGGAAACTTAAATACAGTCTAGTCCCAACACCCCTGCCATGGGCAGGGTTGCAACCCACTAGATTGAGCTGCCCAGGATCCCATCCAACCTGGCCTTGAATACTTCTAGGGATGGAGCATACATTGATTCTCTGGGCAGTTTGTACCCATGCTTCACCACTCTGAGTAAAGAATTTTATCTAACCTAAGTTTCCCTTATTTTAGTTTAAAACAATTCTCCCTTGTCCTGTCACTATCAGACCATGTAAAAAATCAGTCCCTCTCCTGCTTATAAGCTCAAGTACTGGAAGGCTGTAACAAGGTCTCCCCAGAGCCTTCTCCATGCTCCGAGTGAAGGAGTTGGGTGCTGGTAACAGCATAACTGAGATAACACTGCAGAAGCTGCTTACCAGGGACAAGAAGCGAGGTGTATTAGCAACAGCAGAAGAACATTATGTACATGAACATACATCTGTAGAAGCTCAAACATCTCAGGTAAATATACAGTATGTTGCATAAGCTTGCTCCTCTGCCACAGTGCTGCTGAAATCTGTAGAATGACACATACCAGTGAGGCCTTCTTGCACATACAGAATGTGTAGGAGCAGTTCCTAAAGCAAATGTTCACAAATCCCGTGGCAATAGAAGCATTATAAATATATTTCAAGCAATACAAACACAGGGAACAGATTAGATAATTAATGTACCCTTTTGATTACTCACGACTCTGACATTAACGCTATGAGTAGAAAAGATGCCATTGTCATCCAGTCTCCCATTTCTGTACTGTTGCCAACAATTATTGTGTGCATTTTTTCTCGTTTGGAGCAATCCCCACACATTCTGAAGGTGTTTAGAAACTAATAAAAACATTTTTCATCATCTCTCTTGTGTTTCTCAGAGTTAGATCATACTTAAATGTGGTAAACAAACAAATCTACAGATCTCATAGTACTTCTGAATCATACCCCTAAGTACAAACAGAAACTGCACTGATGGCTTCAGTAAATGCAAACTGTTCACTGAGGTACTTCCAAACTCTGTTCGTGACACTCATCCTTGGGATAACGACAACACAAAGCTTATGCTTTTGATCTCACACATCCCAGCACAGTGGTTGACTAAGCACCAGAAGGAACGCATCCTGTTTGTCCATGATTATTATTTTGGAATCACTGAAATCACTGAAAATGTCAGTATAGATGAAAAAATGGCACAGGTTCTTCCATTGCAAAGTTTTTTTTTTTCTCTGCTTTAGTCAGTTGCCAACTTCTATGAGCATCCTAGCTGCAGGAGTAGTCACGAAAAACATGCATCAGCCTCCAGGGCTTTCAGCAGAAGTGCACACAGTGATCACCATGGTACTTGCAGTTTTTTTGTTGCTGTTGTTGTTTTCTTTTTGACAATTTTGTCTCTGCTCCAGTAGAACCATGAAACATGGTGATTCATGCCAGCTGTTCTGTAAAACTTAAATTATAGAATTTAATATTTTGTCCTACGCTAAAGTCAGGTAGAGGGAGATCTTCCTTGTATTATGAAAAAAAAAAAAAAAAAGCTCCTTTACTAGTAATTTTTCATGAGATAATAATGTAAGTATCAACATAGCAAGTCTCATGTCATATCAGTGCAGTAGAAAAGGACTGCCTGCCTCTGCCAACTTCTGGTTGTTACTGATACAGGCAGCTATGAATACACATTTAAGTAAACAGGTATACCAAAATGAACAACCTTGACTACATGAATAACCTCAGTTTCCAGACTAAAGCTATGCCACGATTCGGTGAAATTACACCTACTGAGTAAAGACCTATACAGTGTAAATATGATGTCATCAAGGACATTTCATTATTCGTTTTGGTTTTGAACATTTAGCTAGGTTGCTCTGAAAGTAATGCTTTCTATTTATTTCCATGGAAACAAAGTGCATAATAACAGTGTTTGATAGACCAAGTCTCAGCTGCAAAACACTATTTTTCAACATAGTCATCACCATTAGCCGTGCGTTTTCACCAGCAATGAACAAGAGCCTGCATGTCATGCTCATAAAAATCTGCATGAGCGGAGGTAACCCACTGTCATTGTCAACACTGCTGAAATGCCTCAATGTGCTCATATCCATTTTTTGGTCTTCATAAATGTTCAGCAAGCGTTAATGAAGGCCAATGGGTGTAAGTTTTTCTGCTTGGAAGAATTCAGTCCCACACCTTTGCTTTATATTCACTTCCATGTCAAACACCATTTTGTCAAACTTCCCCTCTGCTGCCATGTGTCACACAGCAAAAAAATGTAATGGAATAGTGGTGGGAAGGTTCAAGTCCTACTTCCATTCCACCAACATCCGCCTCTGGGGTTGTGGGTAAACATAAAATAGGAGGCATTATTTTCAGAGCAGTCCATATTTGTGTACACACCTTCCCATTCCAGGCTGGTGTACTGGCTCACCAACTGCACTCCTTGATATTTTGAGCTGTCTCACGATGTGGCCTATACCTGTCTTACAGTCCTTACAGCTCCAGGTGTTATTTCCTTGCTTACTGTTACTTCCCCTTTACACGTGGATGTGTCAGTACTCATCATCCTGACTTTCTGCCTATATATCTTCTTGTACGCATGCTCTACTAGTCTCGCAAACTGCCTTCTTCTGACTTCTCCCATTAAAACTGCACCAGATGGTGAACTTGTAGCAGCTCTCACTGTAAATCCTTGATACAGAATGTACATAAGAGTATTGCAAGGATATGGCAGCAGAAAGTCACCAGCATGACTCAGTACAGGACCGCACAAGCAAAGCAGTTAAAAATGGCTTATAAACTAATAAAAGCCACTGAGTTCCAGCTGTTCCGTAAGCAAGTCACTTCCTATTCCTCTGAGGACAAAATCTTGGCAAGAAATGCCAATA